GCTCCCGTCCTCTTATTATACATGCTTATTGCATTATATACTCTCGCTCACTGCTTCCTAGTGGCTGATTTTCATTTACTTACACGCTTATTATATTAGCAGCTGTCCTCCACAGCAGACTCGAAGCTCCACAAGGAATGCGGCCATGTCTGTTTTATTACCGTTTTCAGCCCAGTGTTTTGAACTGTGCCTGACCCACAGCACTCAGAGGTGCTAAGTAAGTATTAGTTGGAAGACTCAGCCACCCCTCTGTTCTCAAGAAGCCCCAGTTTTGGAGGATTGGGCCAACGTGAGCTTTTCTGGAGCCATGGGGGACAGGTTCAGGATGGGGCAGACTAGGGTATTTGCAATCCATGAGGCATGAGGGCAGGTCAGAGCATCAGGAAATTATATTACTTGACATTCTCTTACCTCTTTCTGTGTGCACTTTTATCCTATATTATCCTATATTACAAAGCCCTTGAAGGTAGGCATAGGGCCTTTTATTTTGGTACCATGAGCACCTTGCTCAGGGCCTGGCATACAGTAGGTGCTCAACAAAGCTGCACCGATTGAATGGATACATGCATTATGGATTCAATGCAGATTTTTTTTTAAAGATTTTATTTATTCATCTGAGACACACAGAGAGAGAGAGCATGAGCAAGGAGAGAGGCAGAGGGAGAGGGAGAAGCAGGCTCCTTGCTGAGCCAGGAGCCCGATGTGGGGCTCGATCCCAGGACCCTGGGATCATGACCTGAGCCGAAGGCAGACGCGTAACCATCTGAGCCACCCAGGCGCCCCTCAATGCAGATTTTATTATCTGAGCTGAGGTTCACTCAGGAGTCATTAAGGAAAGGAAAGGAAGGTTTGGGATGGTTATCTATCAGTAGAACATGGTGTGTTGGAGTTTTTTACACAACATGATAGAAAGGGCCTGGATGGTTTCTTCTTAAGCTAACATTTTTTGCAAGATACTTTTGCCAGGCCCTGTGATAAAGGCTTTGTCTGCATTATCTCGTTTAACATGAAGTTAATTTGCAGATGCTGCTTACTTTCTACATGGGTAAACTGAGGCTTGGAGATGGCTAATAAGTCTAAGGTCAGAGAGTAATTGGCCAAATTAGTACTCAGATTTGGGTCTGACTCCCCAAATTCTTGGGGCAGTTTACTGCAAGGACTTCTTTACTAACTTGGGGCCTAAGAGAGAGGTGGCCAATACCTTTGCCTTCGTATCCTCACCCATCGGATGGAAGATTCCATTCCTGCCCAGATCCCAAGGTTGAATGGGAGGATGCGTGGGGGCAGGCAGGCATCAGGAATTCTCTGGCCTGAAGGGGTGTTATGATTCATTCACTGAACTCCGGCGCCATGTAAGTGTGAAAGGGCCTGTTCGTATTACATGACGTTCCATTTCTCAAGCCTCTGACAATGGTCTGCCAGCAGTCTGCATGCAAGGTGACCCTGAACAGCTGCCTGCTTTCCAATTCCCACTGGAGGGGCCCCTTCCATCTTAGCAGACTCAGAAGCCAGAAGAGGCATTTCACTCTGGTTTCTGGTAATTTGTTCTGCTCTGTGAACTTCTGGGTTTGCTTGTCCAATTTCATGAAAATTGGATTAGTGAGTGTTCATTGGTGCTGACTCAACTAGTCTACAAGGGATGGTGTCAAATGGAAGAGGAGCCCACTGGTGTGATGGTTGGATCCATGGCTGTTGGGAATCAGGATTCTGCAGGGATGCTCATATCATATGCTACTTGTGGTAGCTTCTTCCAAGCTGCTCTTAGGGAAGACAGTATCTCTCCCCTCCCCCCCACCACACACAAACAGACCTTTGAAAAGTGGAGGGACACTTCTTGCATTAGAACAAGAGGAGGGTTTGCTTCAGATGCTGGTGAGCTTGAGGATTTGGTCAAGATGTTCATTCACTTACTCATTGAATCTTTGTAAATTAGCACCTGCTATGTGTCAGGCTGTTTTGGGCTCTGGAGAACCAGTGATGAATAAACAAAATTTCTGTCCTCATGAAGCTTACCTTCTATCTGAGGTAGGGAAACAATCACCAAATGAATACATGATAGAACGTCAAGCAGCAATTCTATCTAGTGCTTCCATATTCTCTATGAAGTATGAGAAAAGGTCATCTTTTTAAAGATTCTATTTATTAGGGCACCTGGGTGGCTCAGTCATTAAGCATCTGCCTTCGGCTCAGGTCATGATCCCAGGGTCCTGGGATCGAGTCACGCATCGGGCTCCCTGCTCAGTGGGAAGCCTGCTTCTCCCTCTCCCACTCCCCCTGCTTGTGTTCCTTCTCTCACTATGTCTCTCTGTCAAATTAAAAAAAAAAATCTTAAAAAAAAAAGATTCTATTTATTTATGTGAGAGAGAGCATGCAAGCGAGCCGGGAGAGCAGAGGGAGAGGGACAAGCAGACTCAGTGCTGAGCGTGGAGCCTGATGCAGGGCTTGATCCCACGGAAAAGGTCATCTTTTAAAAAAACAGCCTTATTGAGATATAAATCACGCACTACAGAAATCAGCCATTGAAAGTGTACAGTTAATTGGTTTTTAGTATATTCACATATATGTGCAGTCACCACCACAGACAATTTTAGAACATTTCATCACCCCAAAAAGAAACTATAAGCTTTAGCTATCACCATCCTATACCCTATACCCCACCTCCAGCCCTAGGTGCCAGTGGCCTTCTCTTTGTCTCTACAGATTGGACTGTTCTGGACAGAGAAAGAGTCCTCTTTTGAGAGTGAGGGGCAAGGGAGGAGCCTTTACCATCCTCACCTCCCAAATGAGGGACTCTTGGACTCAGTTTCCCTCAGAGCTGCCTCTAGGATCCAAATCTCCATTGCTTTGTAAGCTTGGTTTCTGGGGTGGGAGGGGGTGCTGGCCAGTGTCCCGATACATAATCGCTCTTTCATGACCTTACCTTCCACCTCTAAACCCTACCTGAGGTGGCGTGCTCCCAGCCAGCCCATGCTGAGCATATATGCACATATGCGTGCACACAGAAAAGGCTCTGATCACATGTGCAGGTGTGTCTCCAGGCAGTGATTAGCATGTCCTGTCCATGGAGGCCTCACCTTAGTCCACATTGCTGTAATTCCTCGCCTGGACTGCTGCAGTAGCCTGCTCTCTGCTTTCCCCACCTCCCACCTTGCTTCCCTTCCAACCCGTTCTTCCCAAGATGTCAGGAGAAATGTTATAAAGCCTGAATCTGACCAGGTCACTCTTGTGCTGATGACTCTCCCACATGGTCCTCAAGGTAGCTGAGGCCCCTCTCCATGGTGCATGAGGCCCCACGTCACATGGCTCCTGCCAGCCCCTCGAGTGTCATCTGTCACTATTCCCCTTGGCCATTGGGATCACCTGCAGTCCTTGCAGAGTTGCCACACCCTCCCTAGCAGGCCTTTGCATGTGCTATGGCACTCTCTGGAACATTCCTCTGCCCATAGCATCTAACTCCCACTCATCGTTCAGGCTTTAGCTTTGAGATACTTAGAGATTATTTTAGGGGCCTTCCCTGGCTCTTCAGGATGCCATTGGGTGCCTGTATTATTTCTCCATTGCTGCTTGACAAATTACCCCCCAAACTTAGCATTCTCTAGCAATGAGTATTTAGATCTCATGGTTTCTTTTTTTTTTATTTTTTAAAGATTTTATTTATTTATTTGAGAGAGAGAGAATGAGAGAGAGAGTGAGCATGAGAGGGGGGAGGGTCAGAGGGAGAAGCAGACTCCCTGCTGAGCAGGGAGCCCGATGCAGGACTCGATCCTGGGACTCCAGGATCATGACCTGAGCCGAAGGCAGTCGCTTAACCAACTGAGCCACCCAGGCGCCCCTAGATCTCATGGTTTCTATGGGTCAGGAATTCAGGGGTGGCTTAGCTGCGTGGTTCTGGATCAGGGTGTCTTGTGAGTAGTCATGATGTTGCCTGGGGCTTCAGTCATCTGAGAGCTTGACCGGGGCGAGGTGCTCCCTTTCAAAATAGCTCAGCCCCATGGCCATTGGCAGGAGGCCTCAGTCCATCACCCTGTGGGCTGCTTCACAGGACTTGCAGTGTCCTTACAACATGGCGGCCAGCTTCTCCCAGAGTGATGGGCCGAGAGAGAGAGAGCAGGAAGCTACAATGCCTTTTATGTCTACAATGGACTGACTGTTTGCGTCCCCCCCACCCCTCCTCCAAAATTTATATGTTGAAATCCTAATCCCCAAGGTGACAGCATCAGGTGGAGCATTTGGGAGGTGATGAGGTCATGAGGGTGGAGTCCTTTTGAATGGGAGCAGTGCCTTTAAAGAAGGGGCTCCCAAAGCTCTCTCTCCCTCTTTCTGCCCTGTGGGGATACAAGAGGATGATGATAGTCTGCAACCCAGAAGATGGTCCTCACCAGCCCCTGCGTGCACTGGCACTCAGACTGTCAGGCTCTAGAACTGGGTGAGAAAGAAGTGTGTGTTGTTTATAAGGCCCCCCGGGGTATTCTGTTACACCAGCATGACGAGGCTAAGATGATGGCCCAGGCTCTGAAGTCAGAGACTGTGGCTTCTATCATATTCTGTTAGAAGTGATTCGTTAAAAACCAGCTCATACTTAAGGGAAAGACAAGCTCTACCTCACGAAAGAAGGAATATCCAAGCATTTGTGGACACATTTTAAAACCACCATGGTGCCCCTTGTCCACACTCCCAGCCTCCTGCACTTACCCCTGACAGAGCACCTGGCAGACTCTTGTCACCATCTGTCCCTCCCCACCGCTCCCTGTGAGTTCCTTGAGGATCGGGACTGCTTTCCATTCACAGCTATATTCCTAGACACTACCGTCGTACCTTGCCTAGTGCTTGGTAACCATTTCTTTATTTGAATGAATCAGTGATCTGTTCTAGACATAAAAGGTATAGACTGGTACTTCTCTCACATTGCGGGCCTGCAAATCACCTGGGGGTTTTGTTAAAATGAGGATTCTGACTGAGTAGGTCTGGGGTGGAGGCTGAGGTGCTGTTTTCCTAACCAGCTCCCAGGTGATGCCGATGCTGTGCTTCGTGGAGGGCAGGTCTGGAACACGTGATCCTATTCCCTGACAAGCTTAATAGCTGGGAAGGCACTGCGGCCAGCCGCGCAGCCTGAGGCCGCTCGCAGGGCAGTGTTGGCCTGGTCGTGGGCTTCCCTACTGTGTGCTGGCCTCAGTCTCTCTTCATTGGCCCAGTGTGATCGAGGAGATGCCAGTAGAAGATAGTCAAGAAGGCGTCCGTGGGATACAGAAGCATTCCAAGCTTACGTAAGTTCTCTGTTAGCTTTGGCTCTGGAACAGAGCTGGGGGGTCCCTCAGGTTTGGGCAGAGGGGTTGTGTAGCAGGAGCAAGGGCCAGAGGGAAGCCAGCCAAGCTGCCTGGGAGGATCCAGAAGAAAGGTGGGGTTGGGTGGTGGCGGGTGAGAGAGTCCCCATCCCCACCCCAGAGACCTCATGAAATCCAGCTTTGGCTGGAAGCAGGCTAATAGACCAGATGATGTGTTTATACTCTTCTTCCCAGGTCTTAGGAGGATACACAATTCTAAGGATCACCTTTTAAGGAAAATTGAGTTGATTTGGAACATTGAAATGCTTTCTGTTAATATCTTGGGTCTCACTTTTATCCTCGTGGCTCTGATTTTAGCAGTGTGGGGCACTGTTGTATATGGGTACCATCTGGGGTCTCAAGCCAGCTTGCTGCTTCCCTCATGAAGGGCTGATGGAAGCATAGGGCAATCATGAAAACCCCTAACATGGGGGAAAGGTTTCACATCTGCTGAATCCAGTGGTTCTCAACCTTGACTGCACATTGGAATGACCTGGGATCTTTAAAAAACCAGTGCCTGAGTTCTGTCTCCGGATTTCTGATTTCATGGGTTTGGAGCGTGGCATGGATATGAGCATCTAAAAAACCTGCCCAGGTAACTCCATTGTGTGGCTGTCGTGGAGAGCCATGGTTTCATCTTAGGTGAACCCCTCACTAATGGTAAGGCAGGTAAGATTCTCCCCTTCTTATTCTTGTGTTTTGTTTTGTTTTAACAAATGGAAACACGGTATTACAAGGTTGAGTGGCTGGTTTAAAGTCACAATACCAATAAGTCAGAGGGTCGGAATGTAAGCCCGTAGTAGTCTTTTTCAGTTTGCATCAGGATTGCCTCTATGTGGCTGGTATTATGCTCCTTACAAAGGAAGAGAAACTGAGAGTTTTGGTTAATTTTACTTGCCAACTTGACTGGGCCCTGATATTTGGGTAAACAGTACTCCGGGTAGCTCTGTGAGGGTGTTTGGGAGTAAGATGAGTGTTTGAATCCATAGACTGAGTAAAGCAGATTAACTTCCCTGTTGTGGGTGGGCCTCATCCAATCAGTTGAAAGTCTGAATAGAATAGAAAGACTGACCCTCGGGCTAGCAAAGAGGAATACTTCCCGCCTGACTGTCTTGAGCTGGGATATCGGTCTTTTCCTTTCTTCAGATGCCAACCAAAACATCAGTTCTTTTTTTGGACTGGGACCACACCACTGGCTCTCCTGGTTCTCAGGCCTTTGCACTTGGACTAGAACTTACATCGTCAGGACTCCTGGGTCTCCAGCTGGCATGACTGCGGATTTTGGGACTTAGGCTCCATAATCAGGTAAGGCAGTTCTTTATAATAATAAATCTAATTTATAATAATAGTAAATCCTATTTCTGTTAATCTTATAAGTTAATTTATAATCATATATATATATGTTTATATGTCTCCTCTGGTCCTCTTTCTCTGGTGAACCCTGACTAATGCACTGAGAGATATAACGATTAGGTTTCTGGATAAAGGTCGGACTTGAAGGTAGGGTACAGTTAGGGAGAGTTCTATGTCCTTTATGTCCCAGGATGTTCCTTCTGCTGTTTCCCATCTTGGAAGCTAAGTTTGGACCAATACCCATATCAGATGAACAAATCCTAGACGCTCTGATGACAAAGACAATGTCAGTGCCTGCTGATACAGACCATGAATAGACCAGGTTGGAAAACAAAAGTTGGCCGGGAGAACTGTACTTCATTGAACCCAACCCTAGAGTGTGTGTGTTCTTTGTTTGGAACGATTTTCAATGCTGAAGTTGATCCAAGTTTGTCTTTGGACACTTGAAACCTACCTGCCCAGCGTTCATCCCCAATTAAACCAGCAGGTGCCCATGGCGGGGGTTGGAGATGCTGGAATCATTCCCGTGGTGGTGAGGGGAGACCCCAACGGTTTTACCAAAAAAAAAAATAAAATAAAATAACAAGCATTATCTAAGGAATGAAGCCAAGGTGCTCAGCCACCACTTGGCAGCCAGGGAATAGTTCCGTCAGACTAATCAGGGTGGGGAAGTAGTTCGTGGATGTTGCCTGCACAGCTGGCTCTAGGGCGCCTCTTATGAGAGAACCTCCCTTTATAGTTTTCATTAGGTGTGGAATGTGGGGCGCTGAGGGACAGGTCGGCAGAGAGGCAGCGGGATCGCTGTGCTTCGGGGCAGAGGAGAGTGGGCAGAAGGAGAGAGAAGACTGGGAATGGAGACTGCATGGCTGGTCCAGTGGTGGAGGGGAGATTTCTGGGGCTTTTGAGAATGGGGGTATCTAATACTACATTCCACATGGATCCCTTCCCTTCCCTGACCAGCGCTGGTAACCTCTTCTGTCTGCATATCTTGGCAGTAGCATTTGGGGGGGTGGTGCGTTCGGGTGCTTATTGTGGGGTGGGGGGTATGGTATGGCACAGAAAGAAGGGGGAAGAAAACCCCTGTAGAATAGAAGGGTGATCTGTAAGATGAACCAGTTCAGCGTATGTGGAGCCCAGGGTTGTAGCCAAGCTTGAGTCTCCCCAAGAATCTCCAGAGAGATCGGGGGCAGTGCTGGGTGTCCCGCAGTTCAGGGTGTTGGAGAAAATCTCCCTTGGATATCAGAAGTCATGGTGATAAGTTGCACCTTGTCATGAATAGAGACTTAAGGAAGTCATCGAGTCTCAAACAGAATGATTGTGGAGAGCAGAGTCAGTGCAGCGCCCCTGGAGAAATTATGGGATTAGAGTATCATTCACTGAACACTGGCAACACCGCGTTCTGTGTCAGGCCCTTTAGTGTGGTGCTGAAAATAGAGACCTTGCCCGGCCTTTGAGGAGCTTTTACTTCTGGGGTGTGAAGGCAGGGGAGCTGACGTTTACCGAGCTCCTCCTGTGTGCAGACGGGGGGCTGTGTATTTCATATGTGCACTGTCCTTCTAATATTCTCCCAGCAGCTTTGTAAGGAACCATCATCCCCAACAGACAGATGGGTAGGCTGAGGCCCTGAGAGGTTAGGGAATTTGACCCATACGTGACTCAGCTGATCCATCATGAAACCAGTGTTTGGACACAGGATGATCTGACTCTGAAGTTGGAGGAGGGGTCCTTCTTTTGGTCAGAGGCCCTGGAAGATTCCTAGTAAAGGGTTCAGTCTCGATTTGTGGTTTGAAAAAGCATTCCCCCTATTTCTCCAGAGTCCCGCCAATCTACAGTGATGCCCACCAGCCTGTCTGTTCTCCATGCTTTCTACCAGGGGGCTAACCAGTTCTTTCCTCATCAGCTCCCTTCTTAGAAGCAAACACACCAACTCAGCAAGGCACGGCCACCTCCTCACAGATAAGCATGGTGGCAGGGGGCTCAGAGGAGAGACTGGGAGGACCTCAGGAGGATGCTAACCTAGAAAACGTGGACGATGCTTCGGTGGGTTAGCCTCATCCACTGTAATTAGGGGAGGGCAGTCACAGGGGCCTTTTTCATGAGCTGTGTGCCCCACGACAGGGAGAGAAGGAGAAATCTATCCTGTGGTCCCATAAGCACAAATACTCCACGACTGATTAAGTGAGGCTGAAATCTTCTGCACCATCCATAGGATACTTATTTAGAGTGATTTGCTCAAGACAGGCCCAGAACCCTTCTCCTTAAGGAATTATCGAGGAGCTGGGTGGAGGCAGGTGGAGGCAGTTGGGGCACTTGAGGAGCAGAAGCGAATCGGACTGGCAGGCCGAGACGCCACCTGAGTCTGGGGTTGGTGGTGGCAAGTGGATGGACATCTGTGTTTGTGTGTTTAGCATCGTCCATTCCCTTTGGAGGAAATGCTCCTCTTCCACTCAGATCCTGTGATCGGGATGGGGCTGCCAATCACAGTTTCTTATCCAGTCCCCTGGCCACAGAGGTGGGCCTATGATCCAGACTCAGCCAGTGACAGCACCGTGTGCGCCGGCCCCGGTGATAGGTCCAGGGCTAGATGTGGGACTCCAGCTTGCCTGTGAGAGCCATCTCTTTGGGCAGTGAGGATCAAGGACATTGATGTTTCTTCTGTGTTACACAGTTTGAAGGACAAGCAGCAGGGACTCCTGGGGGCCTTCTTTCTCTCTCACGAGGTACCCACCGTCTGTAGGGGAGAATAGACTCAAGCTGGGGCCCACAGAATCAGAGAAAAAGGGGACCATGGGTATCTAGACTCCAGTTCCAGAACCCCCTAGAGCACCCTCGTTCTTGTACTTGGAGCTTACTTTGTACTTTGTGTCTTCTGCAGTTTCATGAACCAATAGATTGTTCTTCTGAGTAAACTTCTTTGAGGAGTTAGCTTAGTATGACTTGCCAGTGATAGAACCCTGACTAATGCAGACAGGAACATTAAAAATCTATTTTGAGAATAGCTTCTTGGAAGCAGCTGACACCTTACATGTTCTGTGCTGGGTGCTGAGATGGAACTTTGGACTCTGCCCCTATGTGTCTGAACTTGAAGGGACCTCTCTCCGTGGTCAATAAGGCCCCTTCCCCATCCGGCGGGTGAGGAGATGGAGCTCCCATGCGGGAAAGATCTCCAGCAATAACACTGCGAATTGGTAGCAGATCTGAGGCTAGAGATCACCTGGGTCTCTTGGCTCTAAGGCCAGCACTGGGCATCAGAGGTCGGGCAACATGCAGCTCCCAGGCAGAACAGTGGAGAACGCCCACTAAATATGAATGCACAGGGTCAGGAGTCTCCAACCCTTGACTTCCAGCCAGCCATACCTCCTTGTAGTCTCCGTTGGGACTTTCAAGACCAGGTGAGGTGTGAATCATTCTTGGTTGGGATCTCACTCTCAGAGAGCTGGTCTAGAACTCAACGTTGGGCACCCTGGTTAGCAAGGCCTCAAGCCAACCCTACCAAAGGCCTGGCTGCTTCCACCAGAGGTTTGGCCTTGGAGGGGAGACCTCCCCTGGAGCAACTGCAGGGATTGGCTGGGGGGATAGGGTCAGGGGCACTGCCAAAACAGAACTTCATTCCCATTGCAGCTACAGGAGGCTTCCCAACCCCCCAGGTTTTAGTTTTCTTTTATATATTGGGGTTTAATATGCAGGGTTTTTTTTTTAATGGGTTCACTTAAATGAAAGGAAAAAAAACCCTGAAAACCATTAATCCGATGAACTTGAACCAACCACTGCTATTCTCTGAACAAAAGGTGACATGTGGCAGGACAAATAAATCCACAAGAAAAAAATCCCAACCAATCTTTTCATGAAAAAGGCCCAGAACTATCATTATTGAAGGGGGGAAAAATCACTGTTTACAGTAACCCATGTTTTGCAAAATTTTATTAAATATTGAATATAAAGACAGCATTTTGGATAGATGACCTCATCATGACCATATGTTAATTAAGAAATACAGCCTCATTCTTTTGTTCATTCACTAGATACTCAGAGTATCCATGCTCTGGGCTTACCGTGCTAGGTGCTTAAAACACCACAGTGAACAAAACAGGTAGGATCCATCCTTCTGTGGAGATTTGAGAAGTTTATCCTTCTCATGCAATCAAACCCTCTTTTTTGAGAACTTTTCTTTGAACAAACTGAAATGGAAAAATGTTTATAGCCTATGAATCTGGAATCCATCCATGTTTCCAAAATCACTTCTCTAGATGATTTCTATTTTTATTTAATTCCAGTATAGTTGACATATTCTGTTACATAATTTTCAGGTGTACAGTACAGTGATTCAACAATTCTATATATGACTCCGTGCTCATCAAGATAAGTGTGCTTTTCAGCCCCGCTCCCCTCTGGTAACTAGCCATCAGTCTGTTCTCTATAGTTAAGAATCTGTTTTTTCATTTGTCTTTTTTCCTTTGTTTTGTTTCTGAAATTCCACAAATGAGTGAAATTGTGTGGTATTTGTCTTTCTCTGACTTACTTCACTTAGCATTATACTCTCTCGATCCATCCATGTTGCAAATGGCAAGATTTCATTACTTTTTTTATGTTATGTAAATCACCATACATTACATCATTAGGTTTTTTTTTTTAGATTTTATTTATTTATTTGAGAGAGAGAATGAGAGACAGAGAGCATGAGAGGGAGGAGGGTCAGAGGGAGAAGCAGACTCCCCGCCGAGCAGGGAGCCCGACGCGGGACTTGATCCCGGGACTCCAGGATCATGACCTGAGCCGAAGGCAGTCGCTCAACCAACTGAGCCACCCAGGCGCCCCACATCATTAGTTTTTGATGTAGTGTTCCATGATTCATTGTTTGCGTATAACACCCAGTGCTCCATGCAGTACGTGCCCTCTTTAATACCCATCACCAGGCTAACCCATCCCCCCACCCCCCTCCCCTCTAGAACCCT